TGGTTTGGGACCAACATACCTGAAGGACCAACTACTCTGTTATGAACCTGCATGGCCACTATGGTCATCTTCAGAGGCCCTGCTTCAGGTGCTTCTGCCTTCTGAGATTAGGTGGGTGGCAACCCAGCAGAAGGCCTTTTTGGTCATGGAATCTGGAACCCTCACCCCAGTGAGATTCATATATTCCCCTTCTGTTGTCAACTTTCACCAACAGATGAAGACTTTTTTATTTCGTTTGGCATTCCCTCAGTGGTCCCTCCCTTGTGACCAATGTTTTAGTTTCTGATTTTATGTCTTTGTACACATTTTAACAGTTTTTAATTTGTTTTAGACATGTATGTTGGGGGGCTGATTTGAATGGTTTTAAAGTGTGATTTTATCATGTTATGTTTTAATTTGTTAGCCACCTTGGTAGCCCTTGTGAAAGCAGAAAGGAGGGATATAAATTTTGTAAATAATAATAATTATTATTATTAGAAACTCCTATTCTTTAAAATGCCAGACATTTTAAAAGACTGTTAGCAAAAATAATAAATACATTTTAAAAAATGAATTAGAGGAATCAATACTATAGGTGATCTATGTATCTTCTGATCCCACCTTCACTAAAGCTTTGAGTATACAACGGGGACCCTTCTCTGCAAATTCTAAAATATATATATATATATTGAGTGAAGATCAATTTTTTAAAAAGTAGATGCAGCAGAAGAGGAACAAAGGATAGCAGATGCAGCAATATATTTTTTGTTCTAAATGTTTTGTTAAGACCCCACACACACCCAACCCAACCCCCAAAATTCTGAAAAGTAAATACTAATGTTACCTTTGATGTTCAACTTTACTCTGATACTAAAGAGGAAGTTCCAGTTCATATCACCATAAATGACTGGTTTATTTATTTATCAAAACATTTATACCCTGCCTTTCCTTGTAGTTCAAGGCAGCTTATTATAACAGTTAAGAGAAACAGTTCCAGTTAAAACTACAATAAAATAACAACTCCCACATCTTTACATGGTATTAGATTTCTGCAATATCTTTTAGTATAGAACAAGTTCAGTATAGAATACATGTTGGGTTGGAATGAGAATTAGGATTCTGAAACCCCTTCCAAGAGTAATTCAAGACACTGATGCAGTTGAGCATTCAACCTTAAAGGTAATCCTGCCCTGTTTTTGGTAAATAGGTTCTGGCAGCTGGTTGGCCTCAGTAACAAATAGCACAGCTGCAGGAGTTTGCTCTAGACCGCATTTGGCTTCACACCTGGTTTCCTTCCATGTTTATCAGGCGCAGAGCATAGCTGGAGGCAGGTGATAAAATTTACTCACTGCTACTCAGCTTCAAAATACAGGCAACATTTAAAGATGGCACAGAGCATGCTAGCAAGACAAAGTGCCAAAAAAGAAGAAAATTTACGATCTGTATTGAGTTTCTTTAGAAAGTTATGGACACCTGGAGCCTACACATGGCCTGGCAAATGTATGAAAGAGAGATCGCCCTTAAGTAATGCATCTATCTTACAATACTTGGTTTAAACAGCTACTGATTCTGCTCATAAATGAAATATAAAATAGCTACAATTGCTAAGGTTCCAGAAGGATTATAAATCACACATAGTTATATAATTTTCCTATCCGTCACATTAATTTTAGCACTTAGTGGGAAAAAATGACTATATGTATCTCCATTAATCTTGTAGTTAATTTCTGCTGACTTCTCTGGGAGGTAAACTGGCCCAGTCCTGTGGATGATTTTAGCACAGGCCCATTAAAAATGTATCAGGATGTATCATCAATAATAACAGCAACTTTCTGGCTTTGAATGAGATCCATCAGCTTAACTCATTACAATAATCCACTGTAGAAGAACTGAAACCCCAGTGGACAAAAGGGAATGGATGAGGCAATGGCCCCTGAGTTCCATATTTTGGTCCTAAACAGAATTTGGCTTTATAAAGGAATTCAGAATGGGCCAAGGCACTGTGACAGAAGAAGCCACAGAAGAAAAACAAAAATTATGGAGACTACATTTGATTCAGAAGTTGATTTTTTTTAAGCTGATAAGGTTATAGATAGTTCTTTGGGATCAGTTTAGTACTTTGTCCTAATCCTGCATGGAGAGTCGCAGTTTTCCACACAGAGAGAGCTGATATGAATGTAAATGCACATCTGGAGCACGCATCACCATCTGTATAGTACTCAGGACCAGCTGGACTGACTGCATGAGGCTTTTAACATGAACAGGAATGTACATCCTTGTCTGGGACCACTAGTTGCTATGTAGAGGTTGGAATTAAATCCTACTGATTCCAAAGGAGCAGTGGACCATGGGAGTAAGCGATAGGGGTTCATAAAAGGAAACTGTGGAAGAAGACATAATGCATTTAAAATGGGAGTGAGAGTTAGCTATCTCTTTACAAAAGATGGGCTAACTTTTGGCAATATCCGTGATGCTTGTATAAATAGAGAGTGGCTTCTCAATGGGCCACAGGATAGTGCAGCCACATCTGAAAAATGTGAGGCTATTAATCATGCTCAGTTGCAGTGTGGCTCCGACAGGAGTGCAGCCACATCTGAAAAATGTGAGGCTCAGAAAAATGTGAGGCTCAGTTGCAGTGTGGCTCCGACAGAACTCTTTATCCCTTTCCTTTTCGTTTTTTAAAATTTATTCTTGGTTGTTCTAGTACTGCCCTCTGAAGCCTCTCAGTCTCACTGGTGCCACATGTTGAAACACACTATGGTACAGTTGGCTAAGGGAGTGGACTATGAATGAGGTAATCCATGGTCTGAACCCCTAGAACAAGGCAAGCCTCTCTCTCTGGCTCATTTCCCTTCCACCCCTGCAAATACGGGAACAGAAATACTCATCCATCTTACAAGGATGCAAGGATTAAAACAAGATAAAATATGTAAAGCATTTTGAGCCCTTGAAAGCACTAAAGCCAACAGACCTGGAGAAAAATGTCCTGCCTCTTTAATAGAGGCTTAATGCGTGGCTACCTTGATCTCAATAGATCTTGGAAGCTAAGCATGGTTGGCCTTGGTTAGTTTTTGGACAGGAGACCTCCAAGGAATATCAGGTTGTGATGTAGAGACAGGCAATGGCAAACCACCTCTGAATGTCTCCTGCAAAAGTCACCTGTGACTTGGGGGCCAAAAAAAGTGTGGAAATAGGCAACTGAAGTTTCTCATGTTATTGGATTAAATAATATCACCTGGTAAATTACATCCTATGAAGCCCCTCTTAAAGGCACAGGGCATTTTCTCTCCAGGCAGTTGGCAGCCCTATAATGCTTAGCAGCAGGAAGAAATCTGCTTGCTAGCAGACATTCCATCCTGATGTTTATTTGCAGTAGCTTTATTCACAGACATGTGCTCCAGTCTCCTGCTTGGAACATCAGACTAGACTATTCATAAGCAGGTTTACTCACAGGTAAACCCTTCCGCAATGAGGTTTCTACATGCAAGTAGGCTTACCTGAAAAAGCAAATCTAGCTAACTGCTTGAAACAGCAGGCTGTTTCAATTAGGGTTGCCAAGTGCCTGGAAAGAGAAAAATGTCCTGTGCCATTAATAGAAGTTTAATAGGATGTTATTTTAATCTACCGGGTTGTTTACCATGCCATGGAACTCTTCACCTGCACATTTCTTGAAGGCCCTCGTTCTCCCCACTTTTGAATGGGTTCAGCTGACCCTTGCTGACTCCATTAAAAGTCTTGGAGTTATATTGGATCCAACTTTATTACTGGAGAAGCAAGTTAATGCGGGGGGGGGGGATGCTTTCTACCAGCTCATCGTAGCCTGTAAAATGACCCCTTATCTTGATCTGGCTGATCTGGCCACCTGGATCCACACCACAGTTGCATTGAGACTAGACTACTATAATGCACTGTAAATTGGTCTCCCCTCAGAATCAGTTTGGAAACTCCAGCTGGTGCAGAATGCTGCAGCTCAGCTATTATGAGGGGCTAGATGGAGCATGCACATTACTCCCATGCAGCAGACATTCCACTGGACCCATTTTAAGGTGCTGGCTATCACATACAAAGCCCCTCTCCCCTATGCTCTGCCATGACAACTTCGCTCATGTCAGGAGGGCCTTCTGTGGATGCCAGCCTACAACTGGGCAAAGTAACAACTGCTGGTACATGTGATTACTTTGTTGCAGCTCCCACATTATGGAATGGCTTGCCCAGGGAGCTCCCACTTTCCATAAACCTTTCTGCATAGGTAATAGTGTTATATTGTACAAAATGGTCCACAAACTTACTTGGATAAATGATTAGGGATTGTGGTCTATAGGGCTGTGTATAGCTTACTGTAAGTAGGAGCCTGTTATGTAATTTTTGCACCACTTAATGTATCATGTTAATACTTATGATATACTTCATGTCTTTCTGGTGGTTCCAGACTTCTAAAATCCTAATGCACTGGTTATTGAATGTCCCATTTTGTTTATTTACTGACTCACTATTTGTAATCCACCTTGAGTCCCTGTGAGAAAGGTGGACTATAAATAATGTAAATAAATGGAACAGGACATTTTTCTCCAGGCCTGTTGGCACTCTGTTTACAATTTAAGTGCTTCAGCCTCGGTCTCAGGCAATAAATGCCATAAACTGCTGCTCTCAATGGCAGGTTGGGGTGATTATTACACATAAACTCATTTGCAGAGAGAAAACAAAGGTGACAGTGTTTCTGGCCATGCCTGTCCAGACATAGCAACCAATAGCACAAGTCACTGTGCTCTTTAATCAAGGAAATTTGTTCCAGTTGATGTGCTGAAATGTATACATGGAAAAGTAGGCAGTGGAGAAACACAGTTTTGCTAGGTTTATTAGGAATGCTGTCAGATCTTACAAAATTAGCCTCAAACTCCCTGATCAGCCACAGAATTAAAAGGCTTGGGCACATTTGGGGAGCTGTGGAAATATTACATGACGAAACAAGTGTTTGTTGCCACTGGAGAAGCCAATTCCATATTAATTTGCAATATATTTACCTGTTTTTCCTGTACCTTCACGTTGGGGCAGCTTCTCATTTAGAGATCCTAGGGTGGGGTAGAGACAAGGAGTCAATAAGAAAACAAACATACAAGAATTGTACTCAGGATCCAAACCAATAAGCACGCTTATTTACTATGTTCAAACTGAAAAGGGGGAACAACTATCACCTGCACATGTCTTTTACCAACATCTACAGTGCTAACCACATGGTTATGCAAGGTTTGAGAGGAAATACTGCCTGACAACAATGCATGCATCAACATTTCCAACAGTAATTTAACACCTGTTTCTAGATTTCCATTCCATCTCCCAAGGGCTCAGTGGCTCTGGAATCTCATTTAGTTGCCTAACTGTTGATATCTGGATTCAGAGAGCAGTAAAAATGTCTGTGTTGCATCTGGTATTTTTCAGTAGACAGTTTGGGGAGTGGGAATGGGAACATTTATCTTCATGCTGTCAGGGAAGTTCTTTTGATTTACTTTGTACCTCTCTGGTTGTCTAGTGTTCTTACAATACTAGATGAGGTTGGGTAGAGGTGCCTGGGAAAATCTGCAAGCTTTAAAAATGCATAGTGCTGTTCATTAAGACTTGTAGGGTTTTAGCATTGGCAGATGCCCTTCTTTCAACAAAAAAGGGCAACAATTAAAATATTGTACAACCTCATTCATCCAAACAGTTTGGTATTGGAAACAGCTGAAACATGCAAGGTAGTCAGAAATGCAAAGTGTTGCTATCTCCAAGGAGTAACATTTAAATGAATCAAATGGATTTCAGTCAACCTGCAGACTACTGGGGAAGGGTGCTGGATCAGGACCAAGGATACCTGGGCTCAAATCTCCAGTCAACTATGAAAGTCACCAAGTGGCTTCACTAGTCGGGCCCTATGTTTTCTTCTGATCATGCAAGCAGCAGTTTTGCTAAGCAAGGGGTCTTTTGCCAGTCTTCCCCTCCCACTGCAGATCCTGCTAGTTTTTGAGAGTCTAACCAGCCCATGGAATCACAATTTCTGGGATCACAGCTACAGGAAAGGAAAGTGGTAAATTTTTTTTTGCATGGATGCTGCTTAGGATATTTGGATCCACCCCATACACGTGAATTATTCTAATGAAGACTGGAGAGTACGATCAGGAAAGGAGACTAGTTCACAGAGACACATTTTTTAGGGTTAAGTCCAGGTGTGACAGCAGCTGAAGGACTAGAACATATGGGAATACTGCTGAAGATGGACTAGGGATGCTGCAAATTTTGCAATGAACCCGTTCACCAACCAAACATACTGTATTAGAAACATGAGCCAAACACAGCTCAAGTTGAACAACATGAACAGCTGCCTAACAGGATTGTTCAAAAGCCAACTCTCATCTGATCGGGGAATCAGCTGGGAGTCGGCTTGAGAACCCCTCCTGCAACTAGCCTGTGAGTGCTGAACAGGTTGCAAACACCTGAACAGCTTATCAGTTAATCAGCTGCCAGGTCAGAAGTGGAAAACTGGTTATGAACTGAAGCAGCAGGTGTTAGAGCATCTTTAAGATGGACATACCTAGCTGTTTTATTCACTGGGAGATTTATACAGGACAACGGTGAGATTTAAAGAAGGGCTGAATGTTATCCTTACTCCATATTATAAAGCATTAATAACATGGGTGGGCTTCTTTAAACAGATGAAACAAAATTAAGGGATTAAAAAAAAACCCTGGATCATGCCCCAGATAAAGGCAGGAAATACAAGTGGGGGGGGGAGGGGGAACCTGTGTATACACACACCTCCCCATAAGTAAGGCTGGCAAACAGTATATAAAATAATCATATTAAATTACATCTTGTAAAAGGGAATGTAATTTCAGAAAATAATTCAGCAATAAATGCTATTAAAATCCTGAGTGAATGACTTCAAAAGAATTTAGCTCTAGGGCTTGTGATTGCCCCAAGTTACACACTTTGTGCTTGTTCCAGAGCTCAGCACTCAGCTTAGTCTCAAGTTAGAGCTTGCTGCAAAGCGTACCATGTTTTATTTTAACTCCAAAGTTTTCCATAATTCAAACCTGTGAGTTGAACCTTGGCTGAATCATGGCCACATGAAGGTCCAATGATAGTTCTACAAAATGAACACTCTACTGGGATAGCCCTATCCATGTACTGCTTATATTGCTGATTTTTGTAAAATAATCTCTCCTATTTGATCATGTTGAGTTACAACTCACAGGGATTCTTCTGGGGAATTCATTTGCACACAGTGTTACAAATGTGTATATGTCATGATTGGATGAGAAAATGATCTTTTACCTCAAGATGAACTCTTTGAGGGACAGTCTTCCTCCTTATTAGAGATGTCACAAACGCAGTTTTATTATTACATGTCTACCAACAAGTTATGGATCAATAATCTAGTTTAAACTTCTTGGTTTTGTATGACTATAATACCAAACCAATTTCATCCTTAGAAATAATTGCTTTATAAGCAATTCATGATTAATAGTTTTGCAAAGCCCATGTGTGTGTTTTTTAATCATACAGCTATGAGTTGCCATCCAGTACATTGATCTAGAACCTTCCTATAGGGCAAAAGAGAATTTCCACTGCAAGCCTTATGAATTTGAGTTCCAAAATATGAAAGACCCTCATATTATTCAAAGGAGAAAGAAAAATAGGACCACACAAAGCAATGTGCCAACAAACCAAAAAAGGAAAGAAAGATGTTAGGTGACAGCTTTATTATTATACAAAGACTCCAAACATTAATGACCCTCATATAATTCAGTTACATTTCCCCTAAATGAATGTGAATGACTGGCACTTGGTTTGTATAATTTATGTATACTGTCACTGAGAAGATATGCATTATAAATGATGTGCTTCTTGATATTTTTTATAAACACTTATTGTCACCCAAGGCTTTTGATCTAAACTCTGGGCACTGCTTTTGTATTGCACTGGGCATTGGGAGGTGTTCCTTTGCAAGGCAGAAATAGAAGAAGGATGCTTAACCTCCTCCTTTTGTCAGCTGCCCCATTTACCCCCAGTGGAGAGAGATGTATTTCCCCCCAGAACTGGAGGGAGGAGGAACAGTGGGGGAGGAGTGGTGGGAAAGTTTCAGAAATTCAGCTTTGCTATATCACATGTAGTTCTGCCTTATTCATCTCTGCCCTGATTCATGCACACCAATGTGACGCGACTGCTGTTTCTGTGTGGATGGGATCCCACACTGCTGCAATGATGCCTGGAGCCAGGAATGATGATAGTTATACAGACAAAGCAATTACTCCACAGCAATTACTCCGATTACTTGAAAGATTTTTAAGTCAAGCAGGATGCATTGTTGTACAGGAAATGGATGCAGTCTTCTCAAAGCATTATGTGGCTCGTAGCAACTTTGTTGTTCAGTCGCACAGTCGAGTCCGACTCTTCGCGACCCCATGGACAATCTCCCGCCAGGCTCTCCTGTCTTCCGCCGTCCTCCGAAGTTGGCTCAATTTCATGTTCGTTGCATCGCTGACACTGTCTAACCATCTCATCCTTTGCCGTCCCCGTCTTCTTTGACCTTCAATCTTTCCCAGCATCAGGGTCTTTTCCAGTGAGTGCTCCCTTCTCATTTGGTGGCCAAAGTATTTGAGCTTCAGTTTCATTATCTGGCCTTCCAGGGAACAGTCAGGGTTGATTTCTTTGAGGATTGACTGATTTGTTCTTCTTGCAGTCCAAGGGACTCTCAAGAGTCTCCTCCAGCACCATAGTTCAAAAGAATCTATTCTTCGGCGCTCGGCCTTCCTTATAGTCCAACTCTCACAGCCATACATGACTACTGGGAATACCATTGCTTTGACCATGCGGACTTTTGTTGGCAGGGTGATGTCTCTACTTTTTATCATGCTGTTTAGGTTCGCCATCCCTTTGCAAGGCAGAAATAGAAGAAGGATGCTTAACCTCCTCCTTTTGTCAGCTGCCACATTTACCCCCAGTGGAGAGATATGTATTTTCCCCCAGAACTGGAGGGATGAAGCTGTAGGAGGCAAAGTGGGGGAGGAGTGGTGGGAAAGTTTCAGAAATTCAGCTTTGCTATATCACATGTAGTTCTGCCTTATTCATCTCAGCCCTGATTCATGCACACCAATGTGACGCGACTGCTGTTTCTGTGTGGATGGGATCCCACACTGCTGCAATGATGCCTGGAGCCAGGAATGATGATAGTTATACAGACAAAGCAATTACTCCACAGCAATTACTCTGATTACTTGAAAGATTTTTAAGTCAAGCAGGATGCATTGTTATACAGGAAATGAATGCAATCTTCTCAAAGCATTATGTGGCGCGTAGCAACTACACTATTGCAAATAGGCACACATAAGGCTGTGGTCTTCCAACAACCTAGAATCATCCTACCTCTGGGGTATGCCTACCCTGTGACATACAGCAGATCTGCAAGATGGTTGTTGCCCTCTAGTTTTAGAATCACAGCACTAAAGCTGAATCATATTGTCCTTTCAAACCACTGCCACTGATGACGTTTCCATGGTCATGCGGCCGGCATGACTAAACACCAAGGCACATGGAACGCTGTTACCTTCCCACCAAAGTGGTACCTATTTATCTACTTGCAATTTCTTGCTTTCGAACTGCTAGGTTGGCAGGAGGGGGTATGCCTACCCTGTGACAAACAGCAGATCTGCAAGATTGTTGTTGCCCTCTAGTTTCAGAATCACAGCACTAAAGCTGAATCATATTGTCCTTTCAAACCACTGCCACTAATTCCATCTGCTTGAGAAATGGAGCAAAGATCTTGGTTTGGGGAAGGGAGTAGGAAAGGTGCCTCTCTTTTTTCACTTTCACAGGAGACATAAATTTGTACAATTGCCTGATGTTTAGTGGTATCTCCTGTTATGCACAGATAATGTTGCCTCTATCTTTTCCTTATTCCTATTAACATTCTAATGTATTTATGGGATCCTACTTTATAGGACTCAGAGTCAGCTGCAAAATTTAAACTAATTGGCAAATATCACTCATCCTTTCACAGAAATCAGGTCTTTTCAAGTAGAATCCTGCTGTTGGGCATGTGTGAGTATAGCTCACTGATCTCTAGTCATTTGAATGTTACACAGAAAATGTATTAAATGGGAACCTTCTAAATACTGTCAATAGGACAGACTTGTGCAGACTTATGAATTAAGTTTCATCCAAATCCAGGGTTCATAGCTACTTTAAAATACTAGAGAACCACATGAAATGAATGGGGAAGAAAGATAATTCAACCCACTGTGAGACTTAATAGCCATTACTAGAAGAGAACAGTGGCTTTCTTGAAATGCTAAATCTATTATTCAAGCAACTACCTTTATGGCATGTATATGGGGTTCTTGAATTCCATGTGGAAAATATATATATAGCCAACTTACAACATATATCTACAGTGTTGTCCAGAATATACATTTTACCTGGGCAACGTGGAGTTTTATGTGCTACAGCTGTACCACTGATTGGACGACCATTTGGAGTCACACACCAACAATAGCCTGTATAAACGTGGCACTGAACCTGTAAGAAAACAACAGCAAGCATATAAAACTAAGCTTGCATATTTAAATATCTAAGTTTCTTCGTTAATGATTATCTCAACTGAGCATCTACAAATACCGAATTTTCTTGTAACCTTTCAATATACTATTCCCAGATATTTGCCATAACCAGCTTTTACCGGTTTCCACTTATTCCAATTCTATGAGAAAAAGTCAATGGAATGCACTCTGGAAGACAGCAGCAAAGGGAGAACGCTAGACCTTCAGTCCAGTTTCTGTGATCATGAGGGACACGGTTAGCCCTCATTCAGGGACGCTCCATCAAGACTATATAGCAGAATGGCCACCACTGTTCCCTCTAAGCTGAGTTAGTGTGAGCTAGCTCACAGTTTTTTAGCCTCTGGCTCACACATTTTTTTCTTAGCTCAGGAAGGATGACTCCAGAGCAAACTAATTTATGCAGTAACCAAATTGCTTGCTCACAACTTTAATGCCAGTAGCTCACAGAGTAGAATTTTTGCTCACAGAACTCCATAGCTTAGAGGGAACATTGATGGCCACCATGAATTTATACAGGGTAGAAGCCAGCCCTGGATTAACCATTACGCAAAATAAGCACGTGCTTAGGGCACCAGAGGAAGGGGGGCAACTTGAAGATGAAATATTTTTCTCAGTCATTCCTTCTGTTATGGCTATTTATAAGAAATTATAGACGGTGGAACCACTAGAACTGATAAGGGGTGATGGCAGCAGGGGCAACTATGTGACAAGACAGGCTAGATGCCTTGTAAGTATAGAAGCAGATTTGCTATGCCAGATTTTGAGGACTTGATCAAAGACTTTGCAGTTTTAAAATGTAGGAGAAAACCTTTAAAAGTATAAATAAAGTTACAAGTAGGAAACAATAAGCATTATTTTGCACCTTTTGATCCATGTATATTGAAATGCTATATGCCTTCAAGGTTAAAAAGCAATGGAATAAGAAATGTTTTGTTTCATACAAATAATGACATTTCTCCATTAGAATATCTTTTTAAAAAATTGTCCACCAACAACAATTTCTGTAGAAAGAGGATTTTCAAAACTGAAAAGTATGCTCTTGTGATCACATAATTTCTGTAGAGCTAATATAAGATCTCTTTGCCTTATAATAAGAACATAAGAGAAGCCAATGTTGGATCAGGCCAATGGCCCATCCAGTCCAACACTCTGTCACACAGTGGCCAAAAATACCAGGTGCCATCAGGAGGTCCAGCAGTGGGGCCAGGACACTAGAAGCCCTCCCACTGTTGCCCCCACCCAAGCAACAAGAATACAGAGCATCACTCACCCCGGACTGAGAGTTCCTATCTATACCTTGTGTTGAAGAAGTACTTCCTTTTATCTGTTCTAACCAGACCGCTCAGCAATTTCATGGAGTGCCCACGAGTTCTTGTATTGTGAGAAAGGGAGCAAAGTACCTCTTTCTCAATCTGCTCTGTCCCATACATAATCTCATAAACCTCGATCATGTCACCCCTCAGCCGTCATTTCTCCAAGCTAAAGAGCCCCAAGCACTTTAACCTTTCTTCATAGGGAAAGTGTTTCAACCCTTTGATCATTCTAGTTGCCCTTTTCTGCACTTTTTCCAATGCTATAATATCCTTTTTGAGATGAGTACACAGTACTCCAAATGAGGTTGCACCATTGATTTATACAGGGGCATTATGATACTGGCTGTGTTGTTTTCAATTCCCTTCCTAATAATCCCAAGCATAGCGTTGGCCTTTTTTTTATTGCAGTCGCACACTGTCTCAACATTTTCATTGAGTTATCTACTACAACTCCAAGATTTCTCTCTTGGTCAGTCTCTGCCAGTTCAGACCCCATCAACGTGTATTTATAGTTAGGATTTTTCGCTCCAATGTGCATCACTTTGCACTTGGCCATATTGAACCCCATTTGCCACGCTGATGCCCACTCGCCTATCCTTGACAGATCCCTTTGGAGTGCCTCACAATTCTCCCTGGTTCTCACCACCCTGAACAACTTTGTGTCATCTGCAAATTTAGCCACTTCACTGCTTATTCCCAATTCCAAATCATTAATGAACAAGTTAAAAAGCATCGGACCGAGTACTGATCCCTGTGGTTCCCCACTGCTTACCACCCTCCACTGTGAAAATTGCCCATTTATACTCACTCTCTGTTTCCTAATAATTAGCCAGTTTATGATCCACAAGAGGACTTGTCCTTTTATCCCGTGACTATTGAGCTTACTTAGGAGCCTTTGATCAGGAGGGTGATTAATCTTTGGGAGGGGGATTAAAAATAGTTTTCAATACATTTTTGTATTTGCATTTTCATCTTATAACAATTTTGTTTAAAAATACATTTGAAAGTATTGAAAATTTGCACTTTTCTTTTGCCCTAGTTATAATTTGCTTATATTGCTTACTGCTATTTAATGTTAAATAATATACTTTTTAAAGTTTATATTTACTACATTTGTGAGGTCTGACCTAGCAGATGGCCTGGAAGAAAACTGAATTTTTAATCTTCTATTTCACCTTCAGCACTTATTGAGTCATAATGTCTCGTCAGTTAAGCAATGGAAGGGCGGCGGGTACCTCTGTTGGGCTGTGTTTAGGGCATCAGTTGGCTTTATTCCGGCACTGGTAGAGGCCATATACATTCAACATTATAGATCCACACATACTCATTTTACTTGCTTTAAAACATGAGTACTGAAATGTTAACATTAGAACATTGTGATTCTGAGTCAGAGGAAGGGGCTGAACACACAGCACAGTCAGCCTGAATATAGACATGCCAAAGAAAGAACCAAAATTTCAAGTCAACCTGGCTGTAAGTGCCATCATCATTGCATTCTGGGATAAACACTTGCTGGAACTCCTTGCGAGCTTGTTCCTGAGTGTACTTCCTCTCTGCCACACATCTTGAAACATCTAGAGGAAAAGAGCAAAAACAGATGATAAAATATTAGAGTCTGTGTGAAATATAACACAGAATGCCTTGGAATAGAACAGGGCACAAATGATACTAAGTATACAGGTTGGCTGTATGCCATATTCTGCTGGGCCATCTGCCTCTTGCTGGAAGGATGATACTGAGCTTCCAGTTAGGGAATTGAGGTAATAACCACAAAGGACATTCTGGTGAGGCTAATTTCCTGATTTCCACATGTTAAGCTCTGCACAAAAGTTAGGGATTTCAACTCCCTCTTCCCGATTAAGTCAACCACACTTTATCCAATAAGCCACTCTCAAAACTTGAAGGAGTTAGTACTGCAGACTGGAGGAAATGGCTGTTTTGGAGGGTGGATTCTAGGACAATACATCCCTTGCTGAGGTCCTTCCCCTCTCCAAACCCTGCCCTCCTCAGCTCCACCTGCAAATCTCCAGGAATTTCCCAGTTGGCAACCCTATGGGATCTGCTATGGGGGGAGGAGAGGGAGAAGGTCTAGTGCTCCTAAAAGCTGTCTCTGGATCGTAGTCCACGGTGTATCTGCTACACAATGAGACATTGCAGGATATGTTTGAAAGGCATGTGATGTAAAAACCTTGCTGAAGCCGCAGGGATTTAGATCTAGTCAATACCTGGATGGGAGACTTCCTAGGAACTCCTGGGTTCTGGGGGGGACGGGGACGGGGACAGCTAAATTAAACAGTATAAATAAATAAATACATTTCATTGGCTAATATCTGAGGAAAAGAAAGGTTAAGATTACCCCACTGCAATGTGAAGCTCTACCTCTTCTTGCAAGTTTGGCTCGCATCCTGCCAGCCAGTTACAAGCAGAGAGCTGACTGTTCAGCTCAAATTTTTAAAAGTATGGAGGTATACATTGACAGATATCAGTAAACCGAGGAAGCGGTGCTATTGAGTCCCCAATTACAACATGTTTTCAAACCAGGTATCCCTCCCTCCCCTCTGATCATGCCTACAATTTTAAAGGGGTATAGGAAAATGTTCTGCTTGAATTGAGACTCACCATTAGGTGTTTCTCTGTGTGCTTCTGCCCCTTGTGATCATGAATCTGCTTACCACCCTATTTACTGATGTTGGTGGAAGTATGCCTATGTAATTTCCCCCCAGTTACAACTGTTTCATGCTATTACACCATAGTAGTAGAAGTAGTGCTGTGGTGTACCAAACAGCAGTTTCAGAACAAACAAATAAATAAAACAAATACTGTGCCAGGATGTCAAGAACCAAAGATGCAGTTGTCGAATAAGCAGGTACTGAGGAGGCTCAATACAAACTTTGACAAGAACCATTGAGATGATCCAATCAGGAGCTCGCCGAGCATCTATTTGATGGAACTGATGTTCACCTAGTGATCTGGTTCATGTCAACGTTCCCAACGTTCCTAGTTATGTCATTACATTTCCCTGACATGGTGGAATGCTGTAAAAGTTCATTGGATAAGGATGTCAAGCTCAGTTGAATGATGCATTATAAAATGTGACATTTTTGGCAGGAAGCCCCTGTTTCTGAAAATGTTTAACCTGAATGCTACATTAGAAACTGGGAGCTCTTGAACTCAACTCTGAATTAAAATATTGGTATTTATTACTGATTTCATCAGAAATGTGCAGTAACAACTCCCTGTCGAAGACTTTGTTCAGTATAATGCAACTGGAATTGGATAAAGAACTTCTATTAATTATGTATCCAAAGGAATACATTAGCTGCATACTAGGCTATTTTATATGAGTAGATTCTTAAATTCACACCCAAGGCTCTTGCTCTGGCCAGGCTATGCTATGCCACAGATTTGCCCTGTCAAACTTTTCTGAAAAAAATAAAATACAATGATTTAAACCAGCTTTCATACCATATGCCTTATCCTAAACTTATAAGATTGCTTATACATTACTTACTAACATGTGGTTTTAATGTAGTGAGTGTTTTAACTGAAAATAAATCTCTCCTTTGGTGGACTTCTGTCTTCATTTTTACTACAGCATGTGGTTTGAATGTCAAAAGGAAAAGTGATCTAAATTCCAGTACATAAGGGCTACAGTCCTCCACACACTTGCTCAGGAGCAAGTCCCATTGAGATGAATGAAGGCTGAAGTGAATCCAAGATCTCTACTACTGTGCTGAGAGAATTATAAATCATTTCTTGAACAGGAATTATTGTAGAAGAGTGCCAGAGAGATGAATTCCTACAGATTTCTCCTGACTGAAGCATTCCTTTTTGCACTTTATTCAAAAATTCAGAGAGTTTATAGGAAAGAACGTGACATCTGCTGTTCGAGGCTGGGGGTTTCTGGAATTATTTGAGCACAGAAAACACCTAATAGCAGGAGCGGAACTACTTTTTTTTTTTTTGCCGCATGGCAAAGGTTATTAAAATGTGTTCTTTTATCAGTTAAGGTCATAGGTTTTCAAACAATATTCTGGAGAGCCCTTGCTGACATCTATCAATAAGGGTATGGTACTTCCTTCTCCCTCAGCAGCTATCGCCAATACTTTCTCCCACTCTTCCTCACAAGCCACATCTTCCACTGCAGTGGAAAAATTAAAGATAAAGCAGTTCTCTGGTTTGCCAACTTGTTTGCAGTGTACAAATGCAGAGGGGCTTGGGGTAGATTCTTCAGTTCACAAGGTACAATGGCTGGCCCAAGAAAACAAGATGGCCTGCAAAGAACTCGTGATAGTGGGCCATGATTTAACATAATTTATGAATCACTGGTATAATGCATCAAAGTGTGTGGTATGGGTAAGAGGGGGTGGGGAATGAAACTGACAGGATACAAACAATCTGTGTTTCAAATTCAATATCTGAAGACCCACCCACTATGCCATGCTCCATGAGATCAGCATGGATGTCTTGCAGACCTCAATGGTGAAAAGAGCACAAAGGGGAAAAAACACACATGAACAATGAACATCCTAATCCGCATGACCTATAGTTTAATAATTTAGTGTCTTGCTTTAATTCTATGCGTAGGGATGTTCAAACCCCTACCAGCTCAACTCACTTCCTGCTCACCAGTGGTGATCAGCAGCTAGTCAATTGGTGGACTTTTCAGGTGTTCACAACAATAGCCTGCTTGCAGCCATCAGAAGCCAACACCTGGCTAATGAGCTGTCAGCTAGGAGTCAGCTTCTGATGTCCTGCTGGGGAAAATTTCCTCTGTACCTAGCAAAGGTGTTATTGGGGGGAGGGCAGGGAGTTGGGGCGGGTCAAGAACCAACTTTCAGCTGATCGGCTGGAGATCAGGGTCTTCTCATCTCCCATTATGCAACCTTTGCTGACTCCTGGAGTTGCTGAGATACAGCAAATTTAGGGAGTGGGCTAATCAAAAGCTCAGTTGATTTTCCTTCACTTCTTTCCTGCCAGAGCTGTCAGCTTGGGCTGCAGAGAAAAAGAGAAACCAGCTCTTTCCCCTCCCTCTTTTACAATGCAGAGATTGAAAGCATTGCATCTGTTCCCATCAGGGTTGCCAGCCCCCAGCCTCTGTTTCCCACCACCATTCTGAGCAGTGGGGAGGGAATTTTTTAAAAATGTCCATCGGTTCTACCAGTTTCTGGAAATTCCTAGAGAGGTGTGACATCACTTCTCGGTTTCCCCGGCAGTGATATTGCATCACCACTAATGGCGATCCCTCATTTCCCCACTCTTGGTATGAGAAGACAAGAATCACTGGGAAAGACAACAACACTAGGAAAAGTTGAAGGGGGCAGGGAAAGGGGAAGACCCAACAAGAGATGGATTGACTCAGTCAAGGAAGCCACGAGGGCCCTCAGTCTGCAAGATCTGAGCCAGGCCATTAAAGGGAGGACGATCTGGAGGTCCTTAATTCGTAGGGTTGCCATAAGTCGGAAGCGACTTGACAGCATTTCATACACATGCTTACTTGGAAGTAAGTCCCATTGTTTTCAACAAGGCTTAATCCTGAGTAAACATTCACAGGATGTAGCCTGAGTATATGCAGCAATTGTTAGCATTCGATTTAAGATGGTATAGGGTCTTCAGTATTTCAGCATACAGCAATCCAGTGTATCATATTGGAAAGGTATGAAACATGACTTAACTGAGGGTGGCAAGCAGCTGATAATTTCTGGATTTGGTTTTAACTACTGCATTCTGGGTTGCAACAAAGAATCAATTATCATAGCAGAAGCTGCTGGCATCCAAACAGAGCCTAGCTCTGTGTAATTCACATTTGCAATCACTCAGCAATTTAGATATTTACCAAAGCTTTGTGCTAAAGTAAGGAATGTTTTACTGGAATCTTCACCTTTTTTTTGGCACCAGCATAAAACCTGGGAGCCTTGCCTAGTTTTGATTCTATTTAAAAATCACTATCCCAGAACTGCTGTGGAAAGCGTGCAATGTGACACAGGGACAATTTATCAGTAGGACTTGGGCTCACACAATTCTGAACATACTGGAGCTAGTCCTACAAAGGATTTAATTAGCACCTCGGCCTTCTTTATATACATAACAGGCTGCTGGAGGAGGGGTATGTGTGTTATTTCTGGGCACAATTCAAAGCTGGCCTTCAAATGGCATGGGACTAAGGTATTTGACCTCCTTCTCTCCTATGAATTTGTCCATCAGTTAAGGTTGTCACTGAAGGTTCCCCAGCCTCCAAAAGTTAGGTGAGTATCTACAGGAGATGTGAAGTTTTCTGTACTTAAGACACTCTGCTTAAGGAGCTCCCTTCCAAGAGATGTTAACCCAGCAGTGTCTTCATTATACACCAGGCAAAGTTTGCCCATTTTACCTGAGCATCTGCCGTTAAGGCTTTTGTTTGTTGTCTCATTCTGTTTTTAATGGTTCTAGGAACAAGGTTTTATGATTTGGGCTTCATGTATTTATTCTGTTTAATATTTTCCCCCCTTTTTTATATCTTGAATTTATGGGGGGTTGCTTATAAGCTAACTTTGACATCCCTTGAGACACAAAGGTAGTGTATATTTTTTTAAAA